CACACACCCCCACAAAATCACCTGTTTAGTTTTCCCCTTGGAGCGAGCGGTCAGCTTGACCACCTCATGGTACTGTTCCACCAGCAGACCACCCAGCACGTACATCTTCTTGATGGTCAGCGGGTTCTTGCCGCTCTTCATCTGATCGTCTGCGATCTGACCGAGATATAATCAAGTTTTGTTTACGGTCAACCTTAAACATACTGGGCTTGAGAGAGGAAAAAAGGCTTACCGTAAACATGAGCGTGACTTGGCTTGAGAAAGGAAAAAAAGTATACTTTAAACATGGGATTGTCTTGAGAAAGGGAAGAAAGGCGTAGGTTGAAATAAAAAATTGAAAGAAAAGAAAAAAAGGCATAGGTCTACCTTAAACATGAAATGACCTTGAGAAAAGAAGAAAGGCGTACCTTGAGAACAACAAGAAAAAAAGTCATACCTTAAACATAAGTTTGGCGGCGTCCATGTAGTGTCCGGCCTTGCGGTAGAGCTCGATGGCGTTGAGCGTCTCGTTCTTCTCCAGCAGGTGCTGGGCGTACTTGGCCAAGAGCATGTCGATCTCGCGCACGTTGTGAGACTTGGCCAGCTCGATGGCCGTGTTCCACTGGTTCAGGTGTACGCAGCAGTCGATGGCCGCCTTCACACGGTTACACTGGGGGTGCGTGTTTGAGTTTAGTTTAGTTTTCGTAAGCGTTTTATGGCACTTGCAACACAATAAGGTCATAAAAATGCCGAAGATTAGAGGTGTTACAAGAGAGTAACAAACATAAAAAAGAAGAAGAGGAGATAAGGACGATAGATGAGTGATAGGAAAGAAGAAGCAAACCACGCCAGAGCACCCTCAACCACCCAGTAGAGTTTTTACTGCGCTTGCAACTGCATAAGGTCATATGAGCGCCGAGGGGTGAAAATGCAAATTTTCTTAGTTCACATGAAGCACGTTTTTGCCGATTTTTTAAAGTCTCGGATTAAGAAAAGATTATTATTATGATTATTATTATCATTATCTCCCATCACCTCCACTCACCTTGATGAAAGCCTCCACGGCAGCTTCTGACATCCCCACACTGGCAAACATGGCCGCAATATCCTGAGAAAAAAAAAGGGGCAGATTAAAAAAAAAAACAACAACCAAAAAACAAACAATGAAAAAACACAAAAAAGATTTCAACCTCTCAGTGTGTGACTCCACATCATCCGTCACCTTTTTCAAACGTCCCAGCCTGACTCGGCCCAGTGACAGAAATATATGCAATGTCTTACCCATGATAAGAGATATACAAGTGCACAATCTGTACTTTTTCATTATGGAAACTTTATTAAACAGATGAGAGCTTAATAAGATGTGATGCGGGCCAATGACCTTAAAAATACTGAATAAACTTACAATTTCCTTTTTAAAAACTGTGTATGGCCGGAGTCTTACACAAAGCAGTCCAATTACCTCATGCAAAAAAAACCAACAAACCATTTCCTGGTTTCTGACCATTTTTAAGTCTTAGTAATTCATAATGGCCAAAAAATGTTGGATAGAACATTTGGTTTCTGACCTCATGGTCTTAGTATCTCAAAACTGCCAAAAATGTCACTTAGAACTTTTGTAGTAATTCTGAGGTTGGGATAAGAAAGAAGAGATATGAAAGAAGAGATAAGAGAGAAGAAAGAAGAAAGAAGAGATAAAACAGAAGAGATAAGACAGAAGAAAGAAGAGATAAGAAAGAAGAGAGAAGAGAGAAGAGAGAAGACAGAAGAAATAAGAGAGAAGAGAGAAAAAAAAGAGATAAAAAGAAAAGATAAGAAAGAAGAAATAAGAAAGAAGAGATAAGAAAGAGGAAGGAAGAGATAAGAAAGAAGACAAATGAAAGAAGAAAGAAGAGATAAGAAAGAAGAGATAAGAAATAAAAGATAAGCGAGAAGAGATAAGAGAGAAGAGATAAGACATAAGACCTAAGAAAGAAGAGCTAAAGAGTGAGCGGTCACTGACGGGCAGCAGTTTGTGGTTCTCCGGCAGTGAGTGCACCATCTTCTGCAGACCCCCGTAGTCCTCCAGCATGTAGTAGCACTCGGCCAGTCGCTCCTGGTTCCTGCCCTGTACGTAGTAGGTCACCGCCTGTACGCACACACATGGGAGGGGAAGAAAACACATAGGTTGATAAACACACTGCTCTGCACACACACAC